ATGCAATTAAACTACTTTTTATATGTTTTTCTACTTTAGTTTAACATATTGAATATATATTTAAAAAAAAAATGTAAGTTTTCTGTATTTTAGGAGTTATTTCAATTTTTGATTTCAGGTTACGGTTGATCGTTTGATTCCGATCTAATTTAACGTAAACACGTTAAAATGTCTCATTGTGAATGTGAAAAATATTTACACTTGCAATTAATTTAATATTTGATAAAATTTAGATGTAAGTCTTTAGTGAGAAAGTCTGAAACAAGATAGTGACCGAAATTTGGGTAATAGCTATAGGTATACCGTAATCTTTAATGAGTTTAATTTTGGATGTTATTTCTTGTCAAAATATCGCTAAAAAACAAAGATTTGAAACAAATATTGGGAAATAAGTTTTTAATAATGTTTAATCAAGTTGAACATACATAAATAAACAATTTGAATGCTTTAAATAACATAATTTTGTCTAGCGTACTCTAAAGTACTCTATCGTACTCTGTTTAGTAGTACCCGTTCAGTTTTGAATATTTTAGTGTTTAAAACCAATAAATTGATTTAAGTACTTAATAAATTCAAAACAAATCAACTTATTGATTGCATACATCTAATCATTATAAAAACAACGTTTTTTATTTTTTGAAATTGATTTTACAAACAAATTAAATAACAATATACCTGGAAATCAGATTTGTTTGGTTCATTTGATGTTAAACATTCATGTAGATAAAAAAAATGTGTCAAAGTATTTTTGAAGCATATTTAAACTACTTTTAATTATTTTACTTCCATGGTGGATATCAAAATAATCGTCTCATTATGCTTAATCTCTACCCATCAATAATTTCTTTGATACTTTTAGTTTGTTTTGATTGAGAAAATCAGTTCTCATACAAATAAAAATTGTTATTTCAAACAGCTGCAATCTACACACGGTCGTCCCGCCACAACAAAAAAGGTATAGCGGTCACTGAAAAAGATAATAGGTGTCATGACCGTGTACCCCGAGTTAATTACTGGTAAACATCAATAGGTTTGATGTTCGTTCAGAACCGTGTGAGGGATTTGAAAACCGATTTATAATAAAATTGATGTATCAAAAATCTAATTGACAGATAACATTGCGCACAATGAGACGTTTATTTTAATATCCATCATGGCCTAAATCTAATGAAAAGTCGATTTAACATGCAAATAAAATACTTTGAAGCATATTTCAGCAAATGAATGAAATAAAATTAATAAATCAAATTTTGGGGATATAAATGAGTGATAAATTTAAAACAAATTTATATAATTCTCATCACTTATTAATTTATCTATTTATTCATTCATTCGTAATTCAGTCTGTTTGTAGATTTATTCGAATAAGAAAATAAATGAATAAAATACTAGTAGTTTAATAATTTATTTAATGATTTTTATTTATTACTAAGACGTTTTTTTTATTACTGCATTTATATATCTTTTGTATATATTCCTTCAATTAATTTTCTATTCATTTAATTCTTTGGGAAAAAAAATCCCATTCATATATTTGATAATTTATTCCCAAATGTTTAAATCTAGTTTTTTTTTTTACAAAGACAGTTATCACGCTTAAAGATGTTTCCAAGTAGATCAAATAAAAAAGTTTATAAATATACATATAAAGTTCATAAAGTACAATGTATAAGCCGTCTAGCATCACAAGATGCAAAAAATTGGTAATTTATTTCTTCTTTAGAATCTATGCAACCCCCCCCCCCCCCCGAAATGCAACCAAGCTTAAAAAATCACATTGATTCCACTAAAAGAAATTATATTACAGGGAATTTAGGCATTTAAAGATGTGTTAACATTTTACAAAGTCCATTTTTCAAAAATAAATAAATAAATAAATAAAGTTTTCAAGGCTATATCATTTTTCACTCTTAAATGCAACAAAAATATTTTTTAAACTCCTTTTCTTGACCGAAATAAATGTCAGGGGACGACAGGGAGTAGACAGGGAGGGCAGGGGCAACGACAGGGGACGACAGGGACTGGACAGGGAGAGCAGAGAATGTCAGGGGACGACAGGGAGTAGACAGGGAGGGCAGGGACAACGACAGGGGACGACAGGGAGTGGACAGGGAGGGCAGGGACAACGACAGGGGATCATAGGAGAAAGTCAGGGAGAGACAGGAAAATGTCAGGGACTGACAGGGGGACAACAGGGGATTTTTTGGAATCTAAGGGGATATTCAATTCAGTAGTGTGTGTATGTGCATTACGTAAAATGACAAATTCAGCTGAAAAACGGTAACATTTATAATTTAATGATTTTTTTTAATTCTTGTGATATTATAAATATGTTAATGGTTTAGACAACATACCATGATCATCTTGCATGTGTATGCACGTGCGTGTATTTACAATGCAATAAGTGGCATATAATTCATATCACTGTCGCTTTTATAATTCTTTTATTTCGATACTGAGCATATAAAAGACAAAGTCTTACAGGAAAATAGCTCAGGAAAGGGGAGATGGGATGCGTTTTGGGAACACCTATAACCGTCCGCGTTACAATTAAAACTAGTTAAATAATTGTATCACACGTCTACTAGTTAGCAAAATCAATACTTTTAGAAATGAATTTAAACAGTAAGCTTTAGAATAACATCAATTACACGTTTTTCATTGTTCCATACTCCTGCAGAATTATAAAGACAGTCTTTCTCTCGGATATATATTTATTACTGCCTTTGTGTTTGTATGAAAACATAAATAGATTTAAAGAATCTAATCAAAGTTTACAGTAAAATTTCAATTGATCATTTAAATATTTTAAAGAATTATTCACTGTTTGTTGAATGCACCGTATAATTTTTTTCCCCCAAATAAAGCGAATACTAACTCTGCAAGTTAGTTTCTTGTTGTTCAGTACTTAAAGTTACTTGGACACAGATTTGAAGCTATTATTTTCTCTATAATATTACGACTTATATATTTTAATAGCATTTCACACAAAAATTAATTAAAAATCTTATTTCGTTTTAAAGATATTGAAATTCCTTATTTTTGGCAGGTTTGATTGACATACCCTTGCACTCTCACAAATTTAATTTTATTCTTAATCTTTAGGAAAAGTGGCAATCTCGTTTTGTATAAATGAAAAATATTGATACTATAATCCAGAAAAATCAGAGTAGACACGTTTGAAAGCAAAACAAACCACAATATATTGTCAGTCCGTGCAGTTGTGGTAAGCAGACTTTGAGGATTGAACGCACCCGATGAATTCTAAATATAAACAATAACAGAACTGTTTACAAAATATGTGAACATAACACGAGTGTGCTCGATTTGCTAAACTCAGTACGCATCTCTAAGATCGGAATGGCAATGCTTGCGAAAGTGCTTTGCTTTCTAATAGTTCTACTGAATTAAATTATTTTTATTGATAAACGTTTTAATATTTCTCATTAAAACACATCAAAATTGCCACTTTTCCTAAGTATTAAGAATAAAGTTAAAATTTGTGAAAGTGCAAGGATGTGTCAATCAAACCTGCCAAAAAATTCAAAATTTTAATAACTTTCAAAGGATTTAAGATTTTTAATAAATTATTGTGTGAAATGCTACTAAAATATACAATTCGTGATATTATACAGAAAAACTGAGAAAATATAAACTTTAAATTTGCGTCCAAGTACCTTTAATGCAGCAATTTTATTGGAATAAGAAAATATCTTCCCCATTCCTTATACTACATTGTGTTTGGTTTGTTAATGAGCAGAAAACATTCATTTAATTTTTTTCTATGTGAATTCAATTTTGGATTTAAAAATTGGGGTGCAAACTTAAGCATCCTTTTAGGTTTATTATGGTAAACCTCCACTTTGATTATATTACTGTGATAGCACATATCTTCGTGGCGGTTTTATGTTCGTTGTTTTCAAGGTCTGAAGAGATCCATAAATTCATGTCTACCACGAAAGGTAAAATGTAGCAAACAACAACTCAACAATTCTTCATTAACGAAATCCCAGTGAACCTAAAGTTTTTTTTCAAACCGTGAAAATTTGACCCCATGAAAATTTGTGATTTTAAGTAGTTTGTTTCCTGTCGATTAATTTGACTACTATATTTTCATTGTGTGTTCAAGAGTAATGGAAATCATTTTATTAATACACTGGCGTGTTCGATATTAATAAAGCACGGATGTTAGTGCGCAGCTAGTCATGGTGTATCAAAAATAAAAACACAGCCCTTTGTTTTTTAAGGAAAAAAAACAGCAACAATGATAAAAAATGACAAAATGTGATATGTTTTATTTCAGTTTGTGTCTTCTTTTCAGACAGAGGTTATATAATATACTAGAAAATTGCATATTAAAAGAAGTAAATCACAAACATACAAATTTGAATGAATCGATTTTGCTTTTGACATTACGACAAATAAAACAAGGAATAATGTCTTAAGAACTTGCTGAGAAGAAGCCAACGCAGACAAGTTATTTGGATTAAAAGTTCCTTTCTAGTAGCAAGTTTTTTTTAAATGATTTAAAAAAAAAATCACTAATCTTTCCTCTAAAAAAAAAAAACAAGGTAATTTTAATATTCAATGCATAAAGAAAACTTAATCAGAATGCTCTTTCTGATTATTCTTACTTTTCCAAAACTTCAATTTTTGGGGGATGTGCATTTTCGTCAAAACTGAATAAATCTGTGTCTTGGATAGATATAACACACTCACTAACCCAAGAGCTGCACCAAAGCCTGTTGTCAGTGTTAATGTACCAATGGCCTGAATCGGGTGCATTGATGTTGCGCTTGCTAAAGCCATCCCTGTTCCCCCACCCACAGTAATACCAGTACCTATACCAGCAGATAGAATCTTTGTGAAAGAGGAAAATATTGACTGGTTTGATTCATTCTTGAGCTTAAGAATTGTAAACTCTTTTTCAAAGAAATCATTCAAGTCAAAGTCAATATTCTTCTGTAGATGCTTCAAAAATAGCTTTCGATTTTCAATAGTTACTTTGTCCCGAGCCTTTTTAGTAACCTTCTCATGGAGTGCATTCAGATCCTCCAGTTCCTTATAACTGTCAAGTTGCTGAATAATAGTAATGGAACATATTTTTTTATATTTGTAATGAATGGAAGGATATTTGATTTAATAAATGGATATGAGAGAGGGAGAGAAAAGAAAGAAGAGAAGGAGAGAGAGAGAAGAATTGAGTTACCCTTTCCATCTCATTCTGATAGTACTTGCAAACATCCGACAATAAATTTGTGTACATAGCAGTAACCATGCCCTAAAATTTAAAAGTTGTACTTCATTGAATAAAATGAATTTGTATATTTTTCCCTCTATCAAATAGCATACAGAAAATATAAAATTAATAAACAAGAGCTTATATGAAATGGAAAGAAAAGTCGAGTTACTGAGTTTCCAGCTTCTAAATTTGAATGTAGGATTAAAAAAATATTTTCAAAAATTGTTTTTTTTTAAATAATATTATCTTCTTTCATATTTTCACAAGATCACATGTATCTGCAAAATTTATCTTCTCAATTGATAATTTTGGAATATATTATAATTCTTACGGAAGACAAAAAATAGGATTCAAGCTCAAAGGTCCCTTGATACAAATTCAGATTGTGAGAACAGCAAACACAGACTTGAAAAAAAGTCACTCTGACTATGAAAATTTGCTCTCACAATCTGTATGAGCATTCTCTGGCAACATTATACTTAACGATGGATTGTATTACGCAAAATGGTTATTACATCGACGATTAAATTAAATTGAAAATTTGATTATGACGGAACCTGCTAGTATCCTTCGAACAAAACTTATAATTATTAAGACCACATTTCAAATGATTACCAAAGATACGGAATATATTCCTAATTTTTACAATTCTAGTGTTATTTAAAAAGTACTAACCATTTTATCTAAAGATTTCAAACATAGGGGACTAATAGAAATTGTTGAAAGTAAAGCATTTTGAAATTCATGGAATACAATTTAAACACACTTTAAATGAAGGCCAATGCACCCTCCGAAAACTTCACAAAACTCATATACCAAAGATACATCAAAGTATGTACTTTTGTTCCTTAACCTTAATGACTTAATACAACTTTTAACACACACTCAAAACAGTTTGAAAAGACATTGTTGTGCGCTGAAAGTTCAGTATGATACATTTTGCAAAGTTCATTATAACGTTAGGCTCGTTCGCGGCCCCACGTCAAACCTCAGACGTAAAATTAGGTAGTGACTGATTCTTCGTCAATTCAAGCATTCGGCAACAGAAGTGAAAGTCACGGGTCTTTCAGATATGTCTCTGAAAACGTAGGTACCGCCTCACGGTAAGTTCTGGCAAGATAATTTACCCTCACTGTTCAATGGCCATGAGTGCCGAGCATTGGTCTAAATTTGAAGCCCTTCACTGGCATACAGTGATGTCTCCATATGAGTGAAAAATTCTCGAGAGGGACGTAATACAATATACAATCAATCAATTGATTATAACGTAGGGAAATATGGTCAGGTGTTATATGGGTTAATTACTATTTCTAATTTATAGTGAACATTATAACTGAATAATATTTAATACAATTCTAACCTGAACACATGGTCTGATTAAAAAACACAAATCAGTTCAGTATTGAAAAGTTTACTTGTTGGGGGAGGAGGGGTTTGAATTTTTTTACTTGAGAATGTCACTATATCAATAAATATCAATTTATCACGAAAGAGCTTAAAAGATTCTAATGTTTCTTATTATTGAGAAGAAAAAATAGCAAATAAACATAAAAATTTTGAGAAATATTTAAAATAAAGATATTTTGAGCTTTTCTCCGAAAGATTTTGACACAATCAACATCAATTTTTTAGTGTTTTCAAATAGCAGTTTTAACTATTTCCTTGACAAATGAATATTTATGATTTTCCTAAGTTTTAACAATAATTGGATGTGATTTGGTACATAGCTTAATAAAATATGATGTTACACTTCTATATGTCGAATTTTGACTGTTGAATTTTTAAAGGTATACACTCCGAGACATGTTGCATGAACATTAACCTGCAAAGATATGTTTTTATGGGTATTTTAGTTAGATAATGACAGTTTGACGGAAAATTCTGAAAGTACGGACCTACCTTAAAGGGGTTGATTTTAAATAAATTTGTGACTTGATCACTTAAGTTCAAATATAAAATATTGAACATATCAGATCTGAAAAATACACCATGTCCTCTTAATTATTTCAGAATGTGCATCTAAATTTATACTTAGAACAAGCGTTGTCCCAACGTAAAGCTCGGGAGCTAAAATTGAAATCATTATTTAGTTGGCTGTATAATAATTAGGCCAGCGTTGGCCGAATATTAATATCCAATTTTTGAAACGGCTAAACGAAAAAAAAAACATTCATGCTAATATCAGGCCGACGATGGGCCAACAAACCATTACTAGCCTGATAAAAAAACTTTCCTGAAGTGTGTATTACAAACATTGGGCCAACGTTGTGTCAACAAACCATTACTAGCTTCATAAGACACTTTCTTTATGGATGTATTACAAACATTGGACTAATATTTGGCCAACATACTAATACCAACTCGATGAAACACTTTGTTTAACGGTGTATTACGAACATTGGGTCAACGTTGGGCCAACATACTACTGCCAACTTGATAAGACTTGATAAGACTTATTCTTTATGAGTGCATTACAAACATCAGGCATATATTGGGCCAACATACTACTACCAACTTTAAAAGACACTTTCTTTAAGGGTGTATTTCAAACATTGGGCCAACGTTGGGCCAACATTAACATCACTCCTTCCTTGGAAAAACTTTTAAAGTGAATGGAAGTTGCTTACGTCGGACCAACGTTGGGTCAACATAGAAATTCTGTCAAGGTTGAGAAGGTTGGCATGGTAACATTAGTCCAACGTTGGCCCAACGTTGTTCCCCAACGCCAACCATACAAACCTTTTGCCATTGTTGGCCGAACATAGTATTTATATCTTGGTGTCTTCGCGAGCTTTGTCATTTAGAAAAAAAGCTGTTTAAATAGCCAACGCAAGGTAACTTTTATTATATACCAATTCTTTGAATTCAAGAAACCGCGATCGCGTCAAATGAGAGAAAAACGTGAAAATTACAACCCGTGAAATTAATCCCCTGTACAGTATACTTTCTTAAGCTCAAGATAAGATACAGGCAATAATTACGTTATATTTTTCAACTTCATTTAAGCACTCACACTATTTGATAGAAGACTCTAATGAAAAGATGCAAATGTTTACTCGCGGTGTTTGGCGCAAAATTATGAATTGTGATCCGACTTTCATACTTCTTGGACAGATGTACAGCTGTAGAAGTATAAATAAGTAAATTTAGAGCGGAGCTCCATTTTGCGTAATGGATAGCTCTTTGGATTTTCACGCTTATAACCTAGGTTCAATTTTTTCACCTCTAGCTCGATTTTACTGGATTACCTTTCAGACAGAAGACCACTCGTTGCTCGAAAGGAGATCGATTCTATATTTTGTATCTATTCCTATTTAAAAATTGATCCCACATTTTGTCCTTATCCCACCCCTTAGAAATCTAATTTGAAGAATTTTGAAACTACACTGCTGAGGATGCTTCAATATAAATATCACCAATCATGTCATGGCTCTGCTGTTCTTTAGAGCATGATTTTTAAAGATTGTGCCTATTTATAAAGATTTGATTGTCTATTACATGTATAGAACCTCCGTACCCCCAGGGGTCATGATATGACCAAATTTGAATTTACTCTTACTGAGGACGTTTCAAAATCAATACCACCATTATATTTAAAGCTTTTTTTCTCAAATATTCCTATGTACAAATTTGCATCTGTCCGCGGGTATGTTAAGGCAGCACATGGACCAGAATTCGGCGAATTAACACTTTTTTATAATTATGTAACACTAATAAATCGGAAAAGTCAAGGATAAAACTTTTATTATAATTATGCATTCTACAGACTTCAATGGGACTTATACTACATTACGCACTTCACCATGAGGTCACCACGTGACGTCTATAATTAGAAAATATTCCTTAATGAAAAGTAAAAAGTTCAACACTACCTCGGGGATAATCAATTTCAATTTGTAATATTAGTTATGTAAAAACATATATATACCATGAAAAGTGCTGCTAGAATCCTACTGTCCTATCACAGAAATAATTATTCAACATTTTCGGACGAAACCTTCCCAATTTTTTTACATTTTGTTCATAACATAAAAAAAAATGCATTAATTCCCGTAGACCATACGGTTCTCGCAGCACTTTCCAAAAGCAATAGAATAAGAAGTTAAGATAGAAACAAAAATTAAGTTTCACAGTGTGCGGCGTAGTGTTGAACTTTTGCATCTTATTTGTTACGAAGGACAGAGGAAAGGCTGAACGGAAAGTAAACACTCTCCCTGCTTTAATTTAACGAAGAAATTGTTGAAGACGAAATTACCATACCTTATTCATAAGCTTTATTCACAAATGAATCAAGCAAGTTATTCATTCTAAATGCTTTTAAACTCCGATTTCTTGTGTTTGTTTACATGGATTCACGTTATGTTTCACTTTCACTCTGCTACTGCATGATCAACAGTTATGACGCCACGGGTTTGGTATGTCACCCCGGTGATAACTACAGAGACCCAGAAACGAAAAAATTCTGTTTTATTATGCCTTTGCATATTTTGATTAATTTTTACGACCTCAAATCAATCTAAGATATCGATTATAAAAATTGGTATCTCTAAACTTCACGTCATACAGCTTACTATGACGTCATATCATATAGGCAAGTAGAATATTTGGTTGTAACCTTAACCTACCTGCGTCGCTATCTGAAGATGAGTCCACATGAGTTTCATTTTTTCCTGCCCCAGTGGTTCTTGAAAATTTTTTTTAATGCCATTATTTTTTCACTAATTCACTAATATCTACTCTCAGAAGAAAAGCATGTGGACGTTCATTTGAAAAAAAAAATGAATTCCCTTTACCCATGGATATTTCGTAGCATGTTTAGTTCGTGAGAAGAAGATGAAAATGTGAAAAGTTTACAACAACGACAACGACGCCGACGACGCCAAAAACGACAGACAACGGACAAATTTTGATAAAAAAATCTCACTTAAGCCTTCAGCTTAGGTTAGCTAAAAAGAGGTCCAGCCGCACTTTTTATATCCATTTTCTCAATTCAAGGATATATTACGCCGGAAAATCATATGCTTCCATGAAAAAAAAAATGGAAGTATATTGATATCCACAAATTAACTTTTTATCTAAATCAAACACTTCAACACAAATGCTATGATCAGGGATAGATCAGGTTAATTCAGTTGACTTTCAGATATCCGGACGCCAGATATACGGATGCTTCAGTATCTAGACGATTTTTCATAGGAACGGAATTTTTTAAGCTATTTTGTCTTGTTTTACTGGTGATTCAGGTATCCGGACGCTTTACATATCCGGACAAATTGACTGGGAATCAAAGCGTCCGGATAAATGAGGCTCCATTATATTGTTTTATGATAAAAAAAACAAAAAAAGTTTTGCTATATCACATTTTATATTGCTTTTACCATGTGTTACTAATAGCGAGCGTAGCAAACGGCAAATCCACTGGCAAAAGCAATGGATAAACTAACATGTAAGAAGAGAGGAAATGGGACAAAAAATCTGTACATTCGTCAGGCAAATTTTCTTGTGAAAGATTCCAAGAAGCCCTTCGCTACATGTTCCAGAGGTCCATGGAAAATTTTGAAAACACAAAAAAGTACCATGAATAATTTTAACTTACCAAACAATGAAATTTATATGCCCCAGTCATCGAAAGTTCGGAGGTACATGTATATAGTGCTTGTCCTTTCTGTCTGACTCTTTGTCCGTTCGTCTGTGTGTTCGTCTGTATGTCTGCAAAAACTTATCCATAACACATGATTGGTTGAGGCAATGGCCTTCATATTTCAAGCAAGTTTTTTTCCCAGTACTGCAGTTTTACAAAATTTTACCATGTTATAATCTTGATTGTATCTTTTGTAGGGTTTAAACTACATGTCTTTAAATTTCAAATGTTTAATTGCTGTACAAGTCCTTCCTCTGTTGGATCCCAGAAACTATGACCATTTGATGTTGGCCTAGGAGTTTGACTCGCTTTCAAAACATCTTAGCAATTTGAACGGATAGGGCTAGATAATTAATACTTAACATGTGTACAAATATGTAATACTTGGGACAAAACTTTTCTCTGTTTACTAAAACTTCGACTATTTGGCACTGGAGTTTATACTACATTTACAAATATCTAACCTTGGCCAAAACCGACTTTGTGCTAGTGCTTTCATATTTCACAAGTGTATATTTTTGTCAGAAGGCCTTGTTTTTTTGTACAAACCTGTTTGATTTGTATTATCAAAAGTTTAACCTTTACTTTGAGTTGCCATATGGAGATATCAGTGTTTAACAAACTCATCTTTTCTTTTTGAAAACGGAAAAGTAAAATATAAAGTAGCATTATGCTTTGAGAGTTAAAAAAATCTTTTTTAATGCAAAGATTTTGGGAAGTCAATATATACCTGAAAACAGGGTTTTAGAGAATCCAAAAAAGTTGTAATCTCCCCACTGTTCATTTTCCGTGCGAGTTCCTGAAAGATATTATTCCGTATACTACTTCTTTTTGCGATATGGGCATTTGATATTAATAATCGAGAAATAATTTTCATAAACTTCAAGAACTAGAAAGAGAGAGAGAGGGAGAAGGAACTTTTTTCCAAAATTATACGAGTCCTATATTACCTTGAAAACGCTGACAAGGTGTCTGCAAGTTTGTTCTTCGCATCCTATTGTCTTTGGTTTCAATTTTGACGGTTTTAAGATGAATGAAATAAAGGAGAGCAGCTGAGTCTTGAATTCAGGTGACATACCTTTAATAGCAATATCAAAGAGCAATAAATGCAAAATCAAAATATATTAAAGAAATAAGAGGGTATAAATAACAATATGCAAGCTCAAACGTTCATTCAAACAATGATATACTGAGAAAACACGGATTGAATGTTATTGAAGGGTGCGTTAAACAATATACAATTAATCATTTAATCGATCGACCCTTCACACTTGCAGTATGCTCCTTGTCATATTCGATAAAAAAAAGCAGGAGAGAACGGTAGACAATCTATCACATACCCCGTGGGGATCCGGGTTAGAATTGATCCTCAGTACTCCCTTGCTTGTCGTAAAAGGCGACTAAATAGGGCGGTCCTTTGGATGAGACCGTATAAACCGAGGCCCCGTGTCACAGCAGGTGAGGCACGATAAAGATCCCTCCCTGCTCAATGGCCCTGAAAGCCGAGCATAGGCCAAAATTTGCAGCCCTTCACCGGCAATGGTGACGTCTCCATATCAGTGAAATATTCTGGATAGGGACGTTAAACAGTATACAATCAATCAATCAATCTAGCACATATAATGAACTAAGGATTTCTTTGAAAAACTTCAGTCAGCATTTGACTCAGTGAGAGTTTGTAATTACTGCAAATTGTGTCAACTAAAAATGGGCAAATAATAACTTCAAACAAGAACTGTTAAAGCCATATATGGCGTATGTACAATGAAAATTATTAGAATAAAATCATAAGACTTATTTTTTGTATCATTACTTTATATAAAGATAGAAGTTTTCCGTAAATTAGAAAATCTATGTCAATTGCGCCATAAAGATATCACAATCAAATTTGGATTCTCGGAATTTTTCTCCGACTTGGAAAAAAAAATTAAATAACACATTACTGAGAAGATAAAATTGTATTATTACATGAAAAGAGGTGTTTTCCGTGTTCAGAAATGTATGAAAAGCTTTAATTTAATTGCATTAACTATATTTTTAAAATAAATTTTGTATTTTTCAAAAACATATGTTTTTGATCAGTTACACCATATATGGCTTTAATATCCCTGTTTCATCATATTGTTTGTCACAAGCTTGCCTTGTTTTAAAAATTGCTCTTATATAGAGCTTGTTTTCGCTTTTTGAATTAACTGTAACATAGGTATTCAAAAAATACGAAGCTCAATCGACGGATGTTATCTGCTTAAATAATGCAAATCTCTTATCGTATTTTCTAAACAGTTGATATATATTCTGACAACAGTATACATCAGATCTGTTTCAAAAAGTATTAAATTTCATTTGTGAATAACCAGTTCCAAAACATTTACATTTAACCTGCTCGCTCATCTGAAAAATGTAGGTCAGATCCAGCATCCGAAGAAATTCTGCTAGTGTCCATCTATAGATGCATCATGCATGCAAGTTTGGTCCGAGCATGACTTTTTGCTACTTGGGAATGGACCAAAAACTTTAACTACACTTCGTCGAGGTAAGATAAAAACACAAACCCCATTTGCGGATGTCAAGGTTTCTTTCCCAGATAATTTAGAGAAGTTGACAATAAAAAAATTGAAGTCAAAACAGTTATCATAAAGTTTTCTTGTTAGGTTAATTTAACGGCTTTTTCTACTTAAATATCCAAATTTCAAACCATATGTATTAAGTTTTGTGGGATCTTTTATTTCAAATTCTCAGAGAATCATCGGGTCGAATAGAAGTAATCATTGTAAAATGACAGTACATCGTAGATATATCTAAAGTCGAGTCAAAAACTAGAGCAAGTACAGTCGTTCTATAGGAACAGCTTTTTAAACATCTTTTCTATGTACTTGAATGATGAAATTGGACTCCCCTTTCTCCTTCGAAGGGTGCTTGACCTTTTATCATTATAATTTTAAGCCCATCTTTATGAAGAAAATTGGTCCTATGGGCCTCAAGAAAATGTTGAAATATTAAAAAAATTGTATAGAAAGACAGACAGACGGAACGCAGACAACGGGTTTTCATAAAAGCGGACTTGAGCTTAAACAATTGATTGAGAAGTATTTTTTTTTTCCTTTTTTTTTGTTTTGTTGTTTGCCTTTGACGTTGAGATTGAATACTGTTCGTTATTTCCATATCCTTATTATGAAATAATTATTTTGTGCAACAATGAAAAAATCCGTATTCATTACATTTCAATTCTCCTTTATAAGGATGGAATGTATTGTTTTCAAAATATCCTCCGGTGTCCACAATGTCTCCTGGATGTGGTAAAAGAAAGCAATCGACATCTTCAAAACTTCTTTCTAACATCTCTGCAATGCGTTTGTGTATTTCTTCTGTTTTACCTCCAGGTCGTTTCTGAAAATTAACAAAATAAATCTTATTTTTATATTCATATGAAGCAAATTTTGTGCTAAATCTTTTGTGTAAAATTATGAAAACACTTGCCGTGGCCTTCACCTCGACATTTAGAAATATCGACGACATATTGTCACGCGGGTATGTTAAGGAAGCATATAAGTCATTTTTCGGGAAATTCAGACTTTTTCAAGACAATTTAGTTTGATAATTTACCAAAACCTCCGATAAGCATAAACTATTATTATCTATTGCATAAAGATAAAAGAGTGTCTAACGCAACGACGTGCAGCACCACCACGGCATCACGTGACTTCTATTAATAGCGAAAATTTCCTTAATAAAAAAGCGAACAGAACAACAATACCACGGAGTTTAATAATTTCTTTGAGTAAATAATGTAGCTGAAAAACATCTATTTTGTCTAAAAAGTGCTGCTAGAATCCCACTGTTCCACCAGTAAAATAATTATTCCACACATTCGCACGAAACCTTACCCGATGTTTTGAATTTGTTACCTATAAACCGAGATTTTTCGTAAAACCATGCTTAACATGGGATTCTAGCAGCACTTTCCAAGTATTTTAGGATGCTAGCTTTCCATCTCTACAAATTTTATGTTTTGAAATATACAGCTTATTGTTGTTCTATTGCATTATTTTTGTCACAATTGACAGAGGAAAGGCCACCCTGGATACGTTTTTAGCTGACAGTCTTCGATAGAGAATATAATCGATAAATATGGATTAGCATACCTGTTTTATTAACTGAACTCCATATGAATTTCACAAATATTCACGATATTTGCTTTTAAACTCCATTTTACGTATCTTTGTTCATGCTGTCATAGCCAAATTCTCTTTACACGACATGATCAATTCCCGATCGATTCCCAAGTTACTTGATGTACATATATGACGTCATCAGTGGTAGATTTTGATCAAAATGACAGAATGCATCATAACAAAATAAAAACATTTTATTTTTGTTAATAGTTACACGTATCTATTCATTTTGTAGAGTTAAAATACATCTCTAAATATCAATATTACAAAAAAACTTGTGTTCTAAAATTGACGTCATCTCGCCTACTATGACGTCATAATGTAGCACTGATTAAGTCAAGGTAGAATATTTTGTATGCTTCCTTATTCCCCCTGCGCAATTACAAATGCTATTTTCAATTCTAACGTCAATATCATATATCCCGGTAGGCTTGATATGAAATATACCACAGAGTCTGATATATCTGTTTCTTACTTGGCTATTTACTTGAAAAAGACCTTAATGGTAATCTAACAACCAAGCTATATGATAAACGTGATGACTTTAACATTTCTATCGTCAACATCCCTTAGTTATGCAGCAAAATACCTTCATCATTTGCATACGGTATCTATATCTCAGTTGATTTGATACGTAAGGGCATGTTCGTCGTATGAACAATTTCAAAAACGAGCTAAGTTATTGACAAGCAAGTTGTCGACACAAGAATATCAGCAGTCTCGTTAAAAACATTATTTCGTAAGTTCTATGGTCGATACAATGCCTTGTCAGCAAATACAACGTATCATTGAGTCAAATGCTGACTGACGTGTTTCCTACTAATTGTGAGTACATTATTCATACAATCACTTAGTTGACAACAGATTTTCCTTTTTTCCCAATTATGACAGGGATGTGGGTATGACTGGTCGTCAGGGGATGCTTGCTCTCTGATGTTTTGGAGATCCGTGTATGCAATTCTCTCATTTTCTGTTGTTTTATAGACATTTGATATTGAATACTGTTTGCTATCTCCATTTGTTTCATATTTGGGCCATGTTACAACCAAATGAAATAAAAACTAGATATCATTGAGATGGTGGCCATCTCAAAGGGTCCCGCGTTCAACAATGAACATGAAAATGTAAGGTCCTTTAAAAGGGATTATTTTGAAGAGGAACAATTGTGTTATACAGTAAAAGTCATTTAGTACGACTTCACAGATACTGCAAATTTACTAATATTTATCGAAGTTATTTTGTATCCCAAGTTATATAAATTTACTGGAATTAAAAGCAAAGAATTATGCACCAAACAAAGATTTTAAACAGAAAGGGTAATTCTGACCATGACCTAGAAACTTTGACCAAGGTCACTGCACATCCATTGACCAGTGGATCTCTATGAGTGAAGTAGTAGCAAGATTGTGCAAACAAAAGAGAAAATATACTCCGGACTAGGATTTTTCATATCATTCTGCTATGACCTTGACCTTTGACCTAGAAACCTGGTTCAAGGTCACTGCACGCCAGTTACCCAAAGACACGCTCTGGGTGAAGTATGAGGCAGTTTGGGCCAAGGAGAGAGAAGATATGCTCCAGACAAGGATTTTTCATATTATTCTGCTATGACTTTGATCTTTAACCTAGATACCTGGTTCAAAGTCACTGCACACCGATTACCCAAAGACACTCTGTGGGTGAAGTATGAGCCAGATTGGGCCAAGGAGAGAGAAGATAATTATGCTCTGGACAAGGATTTCTCATATAATTCAGCTATGATCTTGACCTTTGACATAAAACCTTGTTCAAGGTCACTGCACACCGGTTACCCAAGGGCACTCTGTGGGTGAAGTATGAGCCAGATTG